TGTTCCTGCTCAGTTAATCCCCTGGCTTCAGGGTAATCAATGCTGGCAGACTATCAGTTGAGGTCCCCTTTTTCTAGACTTTTCTTAGCCAATTCTCTTTTACATTGTATAAGGGACGCATGACCCGGTTTTCAGCAGGTGATGCTCCCCACCAATAGATGAAGCTGGGTTGTTAAAAAAAAAAAAAAAAAAAAAAAAAAACTCAAATTTTTTTTTAAGTGTTGGCTTCGGTCGTTCGAAGTCCACTCAAGTAGGTAGGGAGGTGGGGCTGCATCGAGTGCCGACGAAGTTGTAAGGAACTGAAGAGTTCCACCCCCCGAGTTAGGGCCTGGAAGCTGGATCACTTTAGATTGAGTTGTTTCTCAGATCTTTGTCTGAGGGCCTGGAAGCTGAATCCCTTAGATTGAGCTGTTTTTTTTTCAGATTATTCAAGGGCGTTGGTCCCCTCCGGGGCAATATTCCCGTAGGCGAAACTGGGTAATGCTCCCAGCCTTTTTTTTTTTTTTTTTTTTTTTTTTTTTTTGGAAAAAGCGAGGAGTCCATTATCATAAAAATAATGATGAGGCCGGGAATTCCTCACAAACAACCTGGAAAGTAGAGTACTTGTCACCACTGGGACCATATCCCAAGAGGAGATGTGGGATACACCCAACGACACTTGGCCGAGCCAACAAAATATGCAAACCCAAAAAGACAGCAGACAATTGCAAAAAAAGTAGGACTACTCTTTCCTGCCTGAATCAACCAAAAAGAATAAAGGAACCCGAACTGACAGGCCTACACTGCCAGAGGGATAAAACCAAAGAAAACAAACCAAAATAAACAAAACAGGCCAAAAAAAGGAAGGATAAAAGACAAACAATCCTTCTACTCAACTAACTCCTAATCGGGGGGTAACGCCCCCTTTGGTTACCCTGTCCACCCAGCCTTTTCCAACTCCGGATAGACTATGAGGACCCCGACCTCAAATTCTGATTGAAAATATATTATGCTTGTTTGAAAAAAAAAAAAAAAAAAAATGTCCCCTCAAGTAAATGTACACTGCTGACAAAAAACGGGGGCTCAATCCTGAGCGAAGCACGTGCCCACGGTCATTCAAATAGTACAACCGTATGTTGTGTTTGAATAGAACACCCGTGTGTTTAAATAATACATACGTATGTACTATTCGAATAGTAGACACGTGCGCACTATTCGAACGTGCGTACTATTTGAATTTCGGGGAGGAACTTCAAGAAATTGACTTTTCCAGGGAAAGTTGAATAGTACATACGTGCGTTTTGTTCGGAGGAAGACTGTAGGCCACCCTAACGTAAGGGTACGCCTAACTAACCTAAACAATTTTTAGGTACATAAGACAATATGACCAGGCCGCCCTAACTTAAGGGTACGCCTGATCTGCCTGAACAATTACAAACGACGTATGGCTAAGCCGCCCTAACTTAAGGGTACGCTTAGTCTCCGCAACGACAATATAAGAGAACAACTATTGATATACTTGCACAAACTTTATATTTTTTCTCTCTTGTTAGACAGATGATCAGACCTACCCAACTTAGGGAGACATCCAATCCTGCCTTGTGTTTAGAAGGGAAAATAAAAACAAATTTATACCAACTCTCAAACTTTTTATATTATCACGAGTATAGGACTGAACCGCTCTAACTTAAGGGTACGCTCAGCCTGCCCGGGTTACCTTCATTATATTCTTCACTTGCTTTGCCTCTCTTTTTGTTCTACCTGACTTACTGACTAACTTTCCCAACTTAGGGTGCCCGGTCTGTCAACTGATATAGATTTGTATAATACATATCAAAATTTTATACTTCGGTTGACCTTTAGTTCATGGCTTATGACTAAGCCACCCCAACTTAGGGGTACGCTTAGTCTTATTCCTTTGTTCCCCTCAAAAGAAAACACACATAGAACTGGGTATATGCAACTTATAATATCCCCAGTCCTGTTTTCAGCAACCCAAAAGAAACATCAGAATTATGAGTCTTCCCAGCTTAGGGTGTCCGTCGTCCTGTCCAGAAACCCTCAAAACAGCGACTGGACCGTTCAACTTAGGACTCGGATAAGCCTAGTCCTGAAAAGATCACACATTCAGACTAACAACATAAATAAAGCACAACATTGAACCCACTCAACTTAGAGGAAGCCAGCTTTGGGTTGACCCGGTCAAACGCATGCGAAACTCCTCTTTCCCTCCTTTCCCCTAATTCCATTTGTCTGAATTCACTGAAAGATTATCTGAACTCTCATGTATATTTGTTCATTTAACCTTTTACAATGCATGTCCTGACATACATAACAAAAAATAAAGGTAATAACCTTTCATAGTTGTATTCAGATACCCAACGGGATAACAGTTAGGAGAAGGGACCACACGCGTCAGACGAAATTATACCTAAAGTTCCCTGCCTCCAGAACCCCGTCTGGGCTGCGGCAGAGCTCCCGCAATCGGTGGGTTGACCTCCCACAAGGTCTTAATGCGGTCCTACGGGTTGCAATCCTGCCTGCCGCCTTCAAGTTCCTCTCAGATCCATAGACTAGACGTAAAATAAGAAAGATAGAAGGAGGGTCATTGAGACTCTCAGGTACAAGAGGGGTGCTCTCAGATTCGTGAGAGAGGGCCTTGTAATCTTCAGTCGCCTGAGGGCCCCACAATGGTGGCCAGGTATGCAGCGCAGATGGTCAAACGATGGATGGATATAAAGTACCAGTCTCCTGACAGACCTCAAAACCGCAGCAGCGACCCCTGTTGAAAGAATAGCAGACTCTGAGAGAGAACAACAACAACTTGCCACTTATCTCGACACCTTTTAATCTCGGTAGCGACAACTGTTGTTCCTCACCTTTAATCTCTGGAGACAAATAGCAACTCTAAGACCCCAAGCAGCGACACTACAATTGAGAACAAGGTCGTCGCAATGACAGTCGCGCTGCAGTTGCGCAGCCAAGCACACCAAGGCAGCAGTAGCGCAATCATGACAATCAGTTGCGATACCTAGCAACTCCAACTATCCTATTGAGGCTTCGGAGAGGCTCTGCCACCATAAGGTTTGATCGGTGATAACAACCAACGGAAGGAAAATCGTAGATCTTTGTCCACTACTCACCAATCTGCAGTTTCCCTTTGATGACCCTGGCTCGCACCTTAATCATATGAGTGCAACACTCGGACCACCACAAAATCGTCGAGCCTTGTTCAAATGAGCGTTTTGATCGGGGCCCCTATGGAAAGCAACATGGCCACGATCCCATGGACCAAGAAGATGTTGTGGCAGAGGCTGATTTTGAAGGCGAACAGCAGGATGAATAGGGTCAAGCTCAACGCGGTCTTCTTTCCCCGCCGAATCTTTCAAGCCCATTCCCTTGCCTGTGGTTTCGCAGGATGGCAACCACAAGCTTCACCCCCTGAACATGCCAAATGAGCATGAGCCTCCTGCCTGAGCATAGAAAGGTGCATGCATTCTGCTGTCGAGTTTCGTGCTCCCTATGACCACCGCCTTCGACTGTCCTCGTTTCACAAATGGTTACGACTCCGCTTTATGAACATGGATAGGTACGCCGGTCAGATTTCTGCAGCGCTCTCGTGGGCGCCTGTACCCAAACTCTCCTGCCCAAACTCACCGGCCAGCAGTCGGCGAGTGCACCTCCCCCCTGGATGCAGCCAGACGCATGGATCAGCTGGGCGGCCCAACCGAACACGACGAGCCTGATGACCCCGACAACTGCGATACGGACACCACGAGTATTTCCACTACGTCAGTATAAACAAAGTCTCATGATCTTGACCACGACGTAGAAAGAGATCAGGCATATGAGCAATCGATCAGCTGCAATCGTGAGGACATGCAAAACGAGCATGGCCTCAACCTCACTGTTGGATGCGTGCCTTGATTCCGATGAAGATCATGGCCACTATGATGAACGCCGATAGTGACTACAAGTTCCCCGACCACCAACGCGAGGAACTTCTGCCTCGAAGATCACGTTGCTAAGCACCCCGAAGGACCACCCTCCGTTGCGGTACTCAACCAGTTAGCCTGAATACAAGACTGAATCTTTCGTTAGAACATGAAAGTATACGTTTGGTTTCCAGCTTGCGCGTAGTGAGGCAGGGAGCGGCTACTTCATCGATAGGATGAGCAACATCGGAATGAATCTTCCGCTGCAACACGGGAAGATGCACCCATATCAAACAGATACATCGGAAGAATTCCCGGTGTGAGTTCGGACTAAGGAACTGTCA